ATAAATATATTTTATTGTAACAATATATAGATTGTGAAGTGAACATTCGACACACACCGCTTACAAGTATCCTCTCGCGGAAATTAATAACATGCTGCAACCACTTGGCCCGAGCCTCCAAATATTACACTTAGCCGTCATTGACATTCTTCCATTATCTCATTCATCGACCACCTTCGACTCTCATGCTGAACAGTCCCTGGCTACGGAACACTGCAACAAACTCAACATAGAACAAAAACACGCTGTTGACACTGTTCTATACGCTGCATCCAGCCATTCCAATCAGCGACAAACATGCTTCTTCTTAGATGGCCCAGCAGGAAAAGGCAAAACTTTCGTCTACAAAACCCAAATTCATACCATCAAAGGTAGGGGAGACATTCCTACAACCGTAGCATTGACAGGAATAGCTGCAACATTGTTACCAGGTGGACTACTGCACATTCCGTTTTTAAAATACTCTTAAAGCTGATGGAGACTTCCACATGCAACATCAAACTTACGTCACTCCACGCTCACATCTTCTCAAATCTAAATTGATAATGTTGGACGAAGCCCCAATGACACTTGCATATGCATTCCAGGCAGTTAAAAGTCTCTTACGTTACCTCACAGGTGACACGCAGCCATTTAGAGACAAAACAATTCTATTTGGTGGGGATTTCCGACCAATTCTCCCCATCATTATGCGTGGCTCCCGAGCATTTACTGTCGCCAGTTGCATTAACAAACATCCTTTTTGGCGTAACATGCATGTCCTTACACTGAAAACAAATATGAGCGCTCTTCCTCGCGAACAAGATTTCATCAAATTGCTCCTCGATGTAGGAGACGGAAAAAATGGAACACTTGTTAAATTACTTTCATATTGTTTTCCTTTTAATTCTAATCCCGTTTAACAACTTATGGTATCATCGACTTCTTAAACGTCACTCCGGAGAACAACTCAGTACGCGAGCTATATTAATTGTCCACAACGAAGACTCCCTACATCTTAATGAAGAAGTCTTGAAACTTATCCCTACCAACGAAGTAGCTTTCACCAGTGTTGAATCCATCTTCACAGAAGATCCCGCAGATCAACTGTCATTCCCTGAAGAATTTCTTAACAGTCTTACTCCCACTGGCATGCCTCCACACAAAATTAAAATTGGTTCAGTTGTCATGCTTCTCAGAAACCTCATGCCAGCAAGAGTTCTCTGTAATGGCAGTAGACTGCTGTTGCCAACATCCACAGCAATGTGCTAGAGAGTCGAACTATTGCAGCTGCCACAGCAAAAACTGTCCTTATTTCCCGGATTTCCCTCACAACATCAGATTCAAATTTACCTTTTACTCTTACACAGTGACGATTTCCTCTTTGATTATCCTTTGCAAAGGCAATTAATAAGGCACAGGGACAAAGTTCCAAAAAGATTTGCCTTTATCTAGTAAAACCGGTCTTCCTTTACGGACAGTTGTATGTAGCTCTCTCCAGAGTTCCATCTATTCACGCAATCACAGTTGCATCCTCAAAACCACCCCGTTTGGACAACTGTGTCTTTCTCGAAGTCTTCACTCATCTATGAGCAATTCTGTGACGTATGCTACGTCGCGTGTCGACTAGTATACATATATGTTTCATAGTTGGAATGTTTTCCTTAATAAAAGAATTCTCCTTGTTATAAACAAAAAGCCCGACATCCGTGAATGTTTTATCACAATGGGAATAATATTTAGCTGAACCTTTATTGCATTGCATACTAAAACATGGTCAGTAAAAGAGCATTGAAATAAGTAAGTAACTATGTGAGCCATGTCTTGTATGTAGGAAATAGGGTCAGTAAAATACCATTATAATGTTAATAATTAACTATGTGAGCCTTGTCTTGTGTGTAGGATATAGGGTCAGTAATATACCATTATAATGTTAATAATTAACTATGTGAGCCATGTCTTGTATGTAGGAAATAGGGTCAGTAATATACCATTATAATGTTAATAATTAACTATGTGAGCCATGTCTTGTATGTAGGAAATAGGGTCAGTAATATACCATTATAATGTTAATAATTAACTATGTGAGCCTTGTCTTGTGTGTAGGATATAGGGTCAGTAATATACCATTATAATGTTAATAATTAACTATGTGAGCCTTGTCTTGTGTGTAGGATATAGGGTCAGTAATATACCATTATAATGTTAATAATTAACTATGTGAGCCTTGTCTTGTGTGTAGGATATAGGGTCAGTAATATACCATTATAATATTAATAAGTAACTATGTGAGACTTGTCTTGTGTGTAGGAAATAGGGTCAGTAATAGACCATTATAAAGTTTATAATTAACTATGGTACGTAAGATATGTCTGGTAGATGGGGAATACGGTCAGTGATCAATCATTAAAGTTTGCACTAACTTATCGAGCTTTTTTTATTGTTTTGTGTGTGTTTTCAAACTAAGCATAGACATATGAACGTAATAATAAATGATTGATGTTATTTTGTCACACAGTTGCATGGTCTCTGGGAAATGTGTTACCAGGATTGATGTTTTTCATTGTGTACAATAAAGAGATAAATAATGTGTAATATTTCTCATTAATCAACATAGATTATTTCGCTCTTTCGTCCCGTAGCCCATTTAGTCTAAGTTTTGTTAAAATGGTGTCTGCAACACCATCGGATGATTTAGAGTCGTGGTGTAAGACGGTGCAGGAAGATTCAGAAAATTAGGTTTGAAAGCTTTTTTTAAACCATTTTGTTGTTGGCTATGTTTGCAAGAAATCTCTTATGAGATCAATTCGGAGTCTTTAGAAAGTGTTTGGAAATCAAAATTCGGCATGACACTGCACCACGTTTAAGAATCCTTGCCTAGATGACCAAGTCACAGCAAATTGATCTTTTTAATCGACCTTACTAGGCCCAACAATATTACTACCTCACCACCTTAAACATACCACAACGTCACCTACAATGTCTCTTAAAGTGTCCACATTGTTTTCAGCCAATTCATTATCATCGTAAGTCTAACATTACATTTTACTAACTACACAATATTGTGCGTGGTTGTTTCTATACAAGTGTATGACGTCATGTTGCATTCATTAGAGTTAATGAGATAACACAACCACGCCTAATCGTTCATACATTTTTAACAAACTGTTTGGACGAAATGTCAGTAGCGTCTATGTATTTGAATGTCTTTGATAATGTCAGACGCGTAGAACTACATGGCTGTCTGGTGACTTTTATATACATTAAATTATTCAATTGCTGGTTTGGATCGTTGGATCAGCTGATATTTTGTATCCAAACTTGTACAGCTCTTTCATCAGTTCGTTCATCTGATGATAGTTTTAATCTACACATGTTACGTTCTCTGGTTATAATAAGTTCGTTGTATAAGTTAAAACTATCAAATTAATTCAGTCCAGTTATCTTGTACAAACCTGATCCTCAAAGAAAATCAAAGTATTAAACGTTTCAGTACACATGTAAAATATTTTATTATATCATCATAATAGTCAAAAGATTAGGTCCAACGTACTATAATATCATCCTAAAAGTCAAACGGTTTTGTCAAATGTTCTATTGAATTATCTAAGTAGTAAAAAGATTGTGTCCGATATTCTATTATATCTTCCTAATTGCAGAAGATTTTGTTTTATCTTCAAATTAAAATTTAAAAAAAAAATGAAAATTAACATACATAATAAATTATTGGTTTGGTAAATAAACAAGAAAAAAAAAAATCTAAATGTTGTGCATTTGTAAAATTGAAAAGTTACAATTTATTCAATATAAGTTTGCTAACAACGAGTTAGTTTCATTTATGAAAAATACTTCTGAGTTACTAAATATAAATTTGTACTCTTCAATAATGAAATTGTTACAAGTCGTAATACATTTACATTTATCATATCTTAAATATGAGACGAGTACACAAAAACACAACACGGTTTGGCTGCACTATTTTTCACATGCTAATTGAAACCAACAAAAATATTGCGTGTCCCTTATATATATCAATTGCATTGGCCGGTAAATACTGCTCCACCGCATTCGTGTGTGGGAAATTTAACAGAGACTTCCATTCGAGGATTGGTCTCACCAGCCACACCAAGAGCTGCAAGCAATAAAGATAATCTATCGTCTCCCGAAGACGGAAAAATGTCTTCCAGGTGCTCTGGTCGGCATGTCCGTCCAATTAATGGCATGTCGATAAAGAGGTGTTTGCCACGAACCCCCTGAAACGTTACCCGGGGGACAGTATCACCGTGTAGGGGACCTGCGCTGAAAGGCAAAGGTAACGCACGGAGACTGTGTCAGAACGAGCACGATTGCACGTGCAAGTGCAGTCGAAATATATTATTAAACGCAGAAACAGGTTGGGACATGATTACAGTTGCCGTATGGATATGAGGTGAAGGCGTATGGCAACCTTTCACCGATGATTCTAACTATGCAGTCTTGAGGGCACTGCTAACATCCTCTCTCTCCCATCTACGGTGTGAATTAGTCACGCCGCAGAATAACCATACAAACCCTACTATAGTGCGTCGGTCTAAACAATTACGCGGTCCCCCCCCTGGGGTGGTAAGGGGGGACTTTAGAGACGTTAAACATATCCACCCTAAAACCCTAGAAAGCCCGGCCCGGTTGCTGCGTGAGCATCAACCGGCTGGCCAGGTGTTTCTTCTCTGGGGCTGCCACACTCAGCGGCCAATCGAGTGGAAGTCGGGTGTGGCGGTCTTATGGACGGAACGTCCCTGGCGTGCCGCTTCGCGGCCCGATCGGAATAAAGACCACTAGGGGAGTGATTGATGGCCGGTTTGGTTAGCGCGGTGGTGCGTTGTGGGAGACCATATGAGCCACGGCTCAGTGTTCGCTGATTTTCTTAAGTAAGTTAGTTAGACGGAAAGGTCTAATAAGAACACAAGGACTGTGTTAAACAGCAACAAAACATTGTAAAACGGAAATACGATGGCGTTTAAAAGTACCAGATTAATGTTTAACAGAAACAGAAAAGTGTTAAACAAGACTATGCCAGTGTAAAACAGAATCAGAACAGTGTTAAACAGAACCATGACAGTAATACACAGAAACAGAATTGTGTTGTACAGACGCTGGACAATGTATTTAACAGAAACAGAAAAGTGTTAAACAAGACTATGCCAGTGTAAAACAGAATCAGAACAGTGTTAAACAGAACCATGACAGTAATACACAGAAACAGAATTGTGTTGTACAGACGCTGGACAATGTTAGCAGAACCAGGACAGTGATAGAGAGTAATAGGACGGTATCAAACAAAAACATAAAAGTATTAAATATTATCAGGACCGTGTTGAACAAGACTAAGACAGTTTTAAAAAGAATAAACTTTGTGTAACAAAGAACCAGGACACTGATAAACAGAACCAGAACAGTTTTAGGCAGAAACATGATTGTTTTTAAACATATATAGGACACTCTTAACAGGAACAGGACAGTGTTAAAAAGAACCAGGACATATTTAAACAGAACAAGGACAAAGTTAAACATTAACAGGACTGTGAAAAACCGAAACAGGACAGTGTTAACCTGAAACAGGTCAGTGCTAATTAAAAAAATGCAGTGTTCAATAGAAACAGGACATTGTTAAACAGGACCAGGTTAGTATTATACAGAACTAGAAATGTGTTAAATGGGAACTGGGAATTGTTAAATAGATCAGGAACAGTAATAACAGAATCAAGACAGTGTTAAAAAGACTAGGACATGGTTAAATAGTACCACGGCAGTGCTAATATGAACAAGGCAGAGTCAAAAAGAACCAGGACAGTGTTAAACCGAACCAGGGCAATGCTAACATGACCAGGACAGCGTTTAAAGAACAAGGGAAGTGATGAACAGAACCAGGGCCGTATTTGTTTACACTTTTAGCTTATGATTTTAACATTTTTCAGATCGTTGTGATCGTCATAATCCAAAGTATTGGACAATACATTGTAAATATGGTATGACAAGATGATCAATAACTGTTATTAAAGTTTAGACTATTCTTGGAATAGAATTTGTGTTTAGATTTAATGAGGTTATGACTTTTGAACCCATTGGCGATGTCAATGAGAGAGAGAGAGAGTTAATCATACAGGATCGTAAGTATTAACACTTGACATAATCAAGCTCGATATATCATCATGCCACATATCCAAGCTTGACATCTCAACGCTCCACATATCCAAGCTTGACATATCCACACTCCACATATCCGAACTGGATATATCTAAACTTGACATATCCAGGCTTGATATATCTCATAATTTAATTTCATATACTGTTCAATGACTTAAATCGATACCCAAAAAATTACCAAAGAAACATATTAATTGAGGTATTTTAAAAATAAATTAATTATGATATGTCCCCCACAAATGTTTCAGAGCTCTTAAAGTATTAACAATGTATTATACACAGGGGGCCACATATTCTTGTTGCGGAAATTGTGAAAATATTTGTCTTATCAATAAACATCTTTAGTGTGATTACCACAACACATTTTTGTGATTATTATTTATTTTCACATAATAAATGATAACTCTGATTTGTAAGTTGTTATTTCATGTAACACGTGATTAGCTAACATTTTCATTGAGTCTATAGCATACTTATCTCTGAATACATAATGATACCAATGAGTTGGTAGTTGTTGTTATTTTCTTTTAGAGACATGAGTAGCCAACATTTTCATTGAATTTATGGCACACCTCCTTTAATACTCCAGAAAGATACTAACGAGTTGTTAATTGTTATTTTGTTTAAGATAAAAGTAGCTAACATTTCATTGTGTGTATGTGATACATATGTATGACCATATACTTATGTTACTGAGTTGTTATTTGTTATGTTATGTGTCACTTAATTATGTAACCTTTTCATTGAGTCTATGGCATACCTCAAGTATGACAAATATTTATTTTTCTAAATTGATATAAATTTAATAAATACTTGTTGCATATTAAGAAAAAAATCAATTAGGTTGTTTGATGACTAAATTAAGTCATACACAATCAGAAGGAAAGAGAGAATCATATGAAGAACAAACTTTCTATTAAATACACTCAAGAATGCAGTTTTTGCTTTTAAAGCCTTTTCATTTACAATGACGTCATTGACATTGTATCTAAATGAAGATGTTAGCCTATAAGAAAATAGTGTGTAAATATTTTTTATGTCCAATATAGTACATATTGTTCTAAATTGTGTGATGTACACCATAGTAAACATTGGTCTATAATGTTTGATGTCCACTATGGTAGAGATTTATCTATACTTTGTGATGTCCATCATTGGTCTATAATGTGTGATGTCCACTACAAAACATATTGTTCTTTAATTGCAAATTTTGTGTTAATAATAACATTTTTCTGACAATGGCAACATGTTGGTACTTTTCTATATAGTGATGTATGCTTCACTTAGATAATGAACGATGTCTAAATATCATATCATATATATATTGATGTATGCTGCACATTGCCAATGAAAGATGTCTATATATCATATCATATATATTGATGTATGCTGCACATTGCAAATGAAAGATGTCTATATATCATATCATATATATTGATGTATGCTGCACATTGCCAATGAAAGATGTCTAAATATCATATCATATATGGGATGTATGCTGCACATTAGCAATAAAAGTAAAACAGATGTCTTTAAGAAAACTTAGATTTTGTATCAATACTTTACCTCAGAAAGTGATTAAATGTGTTGAAAAATCTGTTTGTATCAATTAAATAACTTTATCTTTCTATGCATTCTTAAATAGCATGTTACTAGATGTGTTATTAAATGTCTTCGTATTAAGTAAAGAACTCTACGTGTATGTTTTTTTCGTGAAACAAACTGTATTACGTTATTTGAAGTAGTCTACTTCAGCTAGTCCCAATAAAGGTCATTTTAAAGCTGATAGGCTGTTCCCATAACAAAGAAGTCAAGTCATTTTTTTATCAGGAAGTATACCATTTCATTTAAGTATTTTTGTTCAATAAATTGTCGCTTTTTTCCAACAAAATGTCTGATACAGCAATTCTTAAGATACATACCAAAAGAATTATCATTTATGATATTGTAAGACTAAATGATAAATATACGTAACATTAATTTAAATTTTTAACCAAATATTTTCAAATACGTTAATATGTTATATAATTTTTAACATAATTTAAGAATTTAAATGGAAAAAATATATTTCAATACATATTTATTTATGTTTAGTATATCACTATATTAAGACATTCATAAGTTGGCACATCCATATATTAACACATCTAAATATTAACACATAAATATATTAACACATTCTTAAATATATATAAGTATTTAAAAGCAACACAGAAACAATACAAACATTTAAGCCTTGAACTTGACTCACTACAATGAACAATGAAGATTCAATGTCTTTTAATGATCATGCATGTTATTTTAAAAGGAGATCGTACAGTTAGTTCAATTGATTTAAATGATTATTATTAAATATATACATGCGACTGTTCATTTAGATAATCTGCAGTTTGGATTTAAAAGACAAAAACAAAAAGGGAAACATGATTAAATGTTGCCAATAATGGATTTGAGACATGAGGTGAGTAGTGGTGTCCTCTAGCCGATAATTCTAGTTACACAACAATTGTTGAATGGGATCCTGGACAACCTTAGTGTCCAAGCGGCTTTTGGCGAAGTAGAAATCCCGTTATGGGAGAGGGCAGATTTCATAACATAAATATACTATCTCAACTACTGGTAAGTCGACTGGTGACACTACAAGAGCTTTGTCACCGGCTGACCGGATGTTCTTGGGCTTGTATCTCCTCTGTGGGTACCTGATCGAGTGGGTACTGGCGTTGGCTGTCCTGGCGAAGGCATATCTCACGTTTCGATTCTTTACTTGGTAATGGGGCTTAAGTGGGATGCTTTGGGGAGGGCAAGATGCTTTCGATAGGGCATGGCTTATAGGGTGCTTATTTTGAGGGCATGGCTTATATGGGGTGCGAAGGCAACATGTCTTATGTGGCGAGGGGGGGGGGGGCATTGGGAAGGGCATAAACAGGTTGTTACTTGCTGGAAGGATAGCTAACGCCATTTCCTAAATACATTTACATTTAGAAAAAGTTCATTCAATGAAAATAAAGATAACATATAATTTAGATTATACAATTAAATCAATTACATTATATTATAATACATATCCTATACAAATGAGATTGCACAACAAGAACAAATTATTTTATGGTAATACACATAATATATAAATGAGATGATTCAGTAAGAACAATTTAATTCAATAATAATACATAGAATATGTAAATGTGATGACACAGTTAACATTTTATAACTATCAATAGATTTAATGATACATTTATTCAATGATAATACAATAATGGGTAAATGAGATTGTTCAAATAAAACAAGTTAATTATATGATAAAAAATATATAAAAATATAATTGAGGTTAATCAGTTAGAACCTTTTGAATTCAATAATAATACATAGAACATGTAAATGAGAGAATACAGTTCACATTTCATTTACATATGACATATTCATAAAATGGTTTTAATTCATAAGGAGTGTTAAAAATGAATATCTTTATTAAACAAGGAAAGATTAAAAAATACACTAAATTTTCAATGATTTTTCTTGTTATAAACAAGCAGGGTGAAGAGTAAGAGGATTACTTCTACTAAATTCACAACGAATTTTCTTTTTTTAAATCTGAAAAAACACACTTATATATTTTCATCTTGAAACACTTGAGAATAGTTGTATTAAAATAACATTTTAAAAAAAGTCAAATATAAACAGAGAAGTAAATATATTAAACTTTGAATGGAAAACTATTTTATATGACGAAAATATGATACCGTTTGAGCTAAAATGACTTTAAACAGTGTGATAAACACAGTTAAAACCTATTTAAATGCTTTGTTGTTGTAGTGATGGAGCAATGTGCCGGACAGTTTATTTGTGAAGTATATAGAACTATTTTTATAGCTTAACATATATTGTTATTTTGAAATAAATTGTTCGTGTCTAATTAATCTTTTTTAAACATTCGCCATTCATATAGTTTAACATGTACCGAAAATGCACTACTGAATGTATGTCATTGACCTTAATGTATCATTGTTTTGTTTAAAGCTAAAATTTACTTCTTGCCACAGAAAATATTTAACTGATTTTCTTGATGATAAAAAAACCAAATGTTGTCAGTGAAATATTCCAATAGGTTTAACAGACGATGTTATGAGCTAAATAAAATGTAACACATGGTTTAATAATGCAATATCATGAAGTGTGTGAAATGTAAAATTTTGGATTAACCGACGCCTTTATGATGTGAGTGACGTCTGTTTAGATACCAGATGACCAGATTTAATTTTTCTCAAAATAGCTGGCAACGTGTAGATTATTGGATTGATGGCTGAGTTTACTGGCAGAATGAGAACCGCTGACCAAGCGTAGACGTCAAGATTAAACTGAAAGCCGTTCAGAGACATGATACCCAT